ACCCTCATGATTGCATTGTTGTCGTTAAGTGCCATTGAATCAGTTTAAATGCACAGGAAACCTGTATAGGGTTTCCAAGGAGCAGCTAGTGGGTTTGAACTGCTGACCTTGTGGTTCACAGTCCAGTGCTGATCCCATACATAGTACCACACCAAAAGTCCAAAAATATACATATGTTGTTGTTAAGTGCTTTTGAGTTGGTTCCAACTCATAGCAACCCTATGTTTGGTGTCTGAAGAGCGGTTCGTAGGTTTGAACCACTAACCTTGAGATTAGTAGTCCAGTGCTTATGCTACAGCACCACACCAGGACTCCATGATTTCATTAGCTAGATCCTCCCAATGTCCCTGTGAAGTATATACCTTCATTATCCCTATTTTGTAGCTAAGGAAACAGAACTTTAGACTTGAAGTGAGTTGCCCAGGGTCACATGGTGACTAAGTGGTAGAGGTGGGATCTGAGCCCAGGTGTGTAGGACTAACTTGCCAAGCCACTTGCCACTTTAATTTGGTAGACAGATTTGCCCCTCTTTATGTCCTAGTGAGGTGACAAATGACTCTGCTTCTCCTCCCCTTGCTTTGGCCCTTTCACTTGGAACTCAGCAATATTTGGGTGACTGGGGAGTATAAAGCAGGGCTGCTTTTCTGCCAGTTGGGAGGTCTTATCGACTCCAGTGGTACTTGATTAACTCTGGGACTAGCCTGGGGCCTGGCCATAAAAATGTGGTCTGGAGAGGCCAGTATAACGCAGGTTCTGGCTCAGGGCAGATCTGGAACCCAGCTCTGTTTGGGAACGAGAGCCCCTGCGTGGCCAACTTTTCTCCTGGAAAGAGGCAGCAGGCTGCCACTGCCTCTCTGTCGCCTGGGTGGCCTCCAAGCACTCTGAGGTCATCAGAACTGAGCAGCCCAGGAAATGCCTTTGGAGCCTGTGGCTTTCAATTGCTGAAGTTCAAATTATAACTTGCATCTGTCCAGTGATTTGCAGTTCAGTGTTTATACCACAATTACCTCATTAAATCCTTTGTGCTTGCTTATAGGCTATGATGAACATATCTTTTTGATAGCTGGGGAAACCGAGACTGGAAGAGGCAAGATGAGTTACCCAAGGTTGTACAAAGCTAAGACTTAAAATCCAGGTCCACAGAATCCTGGTGTGGATCAGCATTGGACTGAGAATCACAAGGTTGACAGTTCAAACTCACCAGCTGCTCTTTGGAAACCCTATACAGGGTTGCTATGAATCAGAACCGACTTGATGGATAACACTTAACGACAACTTACCCAAACTCCCATTCAACTAAACTAGGCCTGTGCTTTTCCAACTGCATTCTTTAGAGCCCTAGGGTAGTTGAGGTGGCCAAAGGAAGGGGTTAAGGAGGAGTTGGAGGAGGACAAGGGGTGAGGCTCTGTTTTCCTTTCCTTACTTCACTCTGGATTCTGTGTAAGGTAGGTTTGAAAGAAGATTTGTGTTGCCAATAAAATGTTTTTGGATGATTGCCTAAATTGTTCTTTCTTCCCTGGAAATGAGGTTCAGGTTCTTTTTCCTAGACCTGCTCTCTATGATAGGATAGACACAACCCTAGGAAGGCAGCACAGGGAAATGTAAAAGGACAAGACAGAGGTGAGAGATCTATGGCCTACTCTTAACTTTGGTGGGACTTGATCAAATTATATACCTCGGTTTTTCTAGCTGTAAAAATTAGGGGACTGGCCCAGATAATCCTGAAATTCAGTTTAGCTGAATTTTGCTTACTTAAGGGATCTTAAACAGAGTGACACATCTGAAATTGTATGACAATGTACTTTTTTTTTGGATACTTGTATGTTCATTTTTTTTTTTTTTTTTCTGGAAGGAGTGTCTGTAGCTTTCATCAGTGTCTCAAAGGATGTGCATGAAAAAACTCTGGTTTAGACAATCTCCAGCAACTAAAGATGAGGGATTATCTAGATCCAGAAGCTTAAGGAGTCCTAAAAGTTAAATAGAGTGTTTGGCCTGGTGATGCTCAGGAGTGGAAGGGAACCAACCTGGTGCTGCGGAAACAGAAATACCACATGTGGGTGGCTTTCACAAGCAGAGATTTACATTGTCACAGTTTAGGAGGCTAGGCGTTCTAATCCAGAGTGCTGCCTCTAGGCTCTGGAAGGCGGGTCCTTGGCTCCTTAAGGTTTGCTTCAGGTTCCTTGGGAATCTCTACTAGTTTTGACATCTATCTTACTCCATATCTGCTAGCTGTTGTTGTTAGGTGCCATCGAGTTGGTTCCTATCCATAATGACCCCATATACAACAGAATGAAACATCTTTGGGTCCTGCACCAGCCTCATAATTGCTGCTATGCTTGAGTCCATTGTTGCTGCCACTGTGCCAATCCACTGAGTGTGTGTGTGTGTGGGGTCTTCCCTCTTTTTCTGCTGTCCCTCCACTTTATCAAGCAGGATGTCCTTCTCCATCTGCTTGCTAGCTTTCATGTATGTAATCTCTTTTGTATCTCAAAAGAGATTGAGTTAAGATATACTTTATATTAATCCTGCCTTGTTAACGTAAAGACAACACACTCCCAAATGGGATTATAAACACAGGCATAGAGGTTAGGATTTACAACACCTGTTTTTTGGAGAACACAATTCAATCTTAACAAAGCCCATATTTGGTTCCTCTGTTCTCTCAGGGGACAGGCCTATGAAGGTGCTGGCCAGGGAATGGTGGCAGGATTGTCACCCTAGGGATCAGGCCTGATCTTGACCAGTGTTACTCCCAGCAGGAATAAGCAGCAAGAGGCCTTAGATGCTGATGAGGGTCAAAAACAGGCAAGCAGGATTTATGGGGCAAATCCAAGGGCACACGTTCTGCCAAAGGGCAGCTATCATAAAAGCAGAAATGAGGCCAAGAGATCCAGGAAGAAGGAAAGACCCTTGATCTATTTGTATTGGCTGCTGCTTCATTGTGAGAACAGGCCTTCCGCTGGTGGAGGCTAGAGAGCAGAAGCAAAGTGCGATAAGGCACCTGGGACTGTGACAAACCTGAGGGAAATTCAAGACTCTGACTGCCACCACATTCACAAACGACTCAAAGCCACACAGGAGAAATAATCTTTAATATCAGACTTTGTTTCCACATCAAAAGTCCCACCATTCAGTGAAGTACAAGGAGGGGCTTGAGAGGTACGAAGTTACAAGACAACAGCGCCTCCGGCTGTCCCCTGGGCGCACACACGCTCTGGCCCCACGCGGGCCGCCCGGCACACGCACACATGCAGACCACAGGTACACCGCACAGACATTCACCTGTACCCAGGGTTAAATACATGTAGAGAGAAACTCGTTTATATATATACAGAGAGAGAGAGAGGCGTGAATCCCGGACGGCGTCGGGTCCCCCAGGCTCTCAGCATGCTCGGCCCAGCTCTCCGCGCTGTACCTGGCACCCATGCCCCTGCCAGAAAAGCAGCTGCCCCTCGGCCCGCCCCCCTCCCCTTGGTTCCCCTTAGGGCCCGTGTCTACAGGACGCTGACACTCCCCTCCCTCCCTCCGCCCGCCCACCCCCCACGACGACTCCTCCCCAGGGAAAGGAAGCTGGGCGGGGGGCCCTAATACTGCCCGGGCGCCAGGGGCATGTTGGTTTTGAAGCCCGGTTGCCCGTTGGCCACGTCGGCCGCTGCCTCGCAGCCCCCGTTGCTGGCGCCCCCGTCGGTCCCGGGGCTTTCGGCCTCCGCCAGGAGCTTGAAGGTGAAGAGCGGGCCCGAGTCGTGGCGGCCGCGGCGGCCCGGGGGCTCCGACGCGGGCAAGCTCAGCAGCGCACGGGGCGCCTTCCACTCCGGGAAGGCGCACAGCTCGAGCGACGGCTGCGCGCCGCGGCCCAGGTAGCCCGGGCTCGGCGAGGCTGAGGGTAGGGTTCGCTGGCTGCCGCTCAGGCAGCTGCCGCTGTCGTCCAGCGAGTCCTTGCGCGAATGCGAGCGCTCCAGGGAGCCGCCGCGCGTCCACGGCCGGTAGGTGTAGGCGCAGCCGCCCAGGCGGCGACGGCGACGGCGGCGGCGGCGACCGCGACACTGGCACCCGAGGATGCGCATGAAGGCGCGCTTGAACTCCTTGCTGGAGCACGGGTAGATAATGGGGTTGAGGCAGCTGTTGAAGTAACCCAGCCAGAACACCACCTTGAACACGTTGTCGGGGGGCTTCAGGGTGGAGAACAGGGAGCCTGCAGGGGGACGGGGTTGGGGTGGACAAGGACAGAAAGAGCAAGTTGTGAGTAATGAGGCCCTTTCCTCAACATCCTTTGCTGAAACATTGTCGCCAGGCCTTTTCTGCTGCCTGGAATGATCGCCTTCCTTCCATCTCAGAACAGCGAATCCTGTGTTCATTTTAGTACCAAACTCAACACTTCCTCTATTCTTTGAACCTTTAACCAGCCAATATCTCTGGTCTTTTTTAAATCAAGCAAACAAACAGATTTGATAAGTCACAATATGTGTATAGGAATCCTAGGTGGTGCAAACAGCTAAATGCTCAACTACTAACCAAAAGGCTGGCAGTGTGAATTCACCCAGAGGTAACTTGAGAGAAAGGTCTGCCAACCTGATTTCAATAGTCATTGCTCTACTCTATACACGTGCAGTTGCCATGAGCCAGAAACGACTGGACAGCAACTTATTACTGGTCACTGTTTAAAGTGCGTGTACATAATTTAGCTGTTTGCACCACCTAGGATTCCTATACACACATTGTGACTTATCAAATCTGTTCTGGAGCACAGATCTCAAAGAATTCTCACATAGACCCATAAGGAATGTTAGGGGAATTTCATGGTGCATTGTTTGTGGTGACATGGAGTTGGGGGAACTCGGGCTTCTTTGACAGGGATTATGAAAGTTAAATGGGGTGGATGTATAGCATGGAGTTTATATAGCACTTAGAAGCCCCAGATGGCTTGTTCACACAGCAATCAGAAAGGTTCTTAAATACATTGTCCTTAGTGAAAAAAAGTAAAGGAGCTCTGGTAGTATAGTGGTTACAAATCGGGCTGCAAACTGCATAGTCAGCAGTTCAAAACTACCAGCTGCTCCGTGGGAGAAAGATGAGGCTTTCTGCTCCCATAAAGATTTACAGCCTTGGAAACCCTGTGCAGGGTCACTATGAGTCAGAACCGATTCCACAGCACATAATAACAACAACAAAACAACAAGTGAAAAAGTAGGAAACAATGGGATTTATAACATAGCACCATATAAGTCCTGGTGTGGCGCTGCAAGTTAATGCGTCTGATTGCAAAGCCATTTGAACTGCAAGGTCGGCAGTTCAAGCTCACCAGCTGCTCCTCAGAAACCCCATACAGGATTGCTATGGGTTGGAACCAACTCGACAACACTTAATAACAACAACAACAATATAAGTGGAGTCCTGGTGTGGCGCTGTGGGATAATGCATCATAGTACGCATCACATTACAAAGTCATTTGAACTGCAAGGTCGGTGGTTCAAGCTCACCAGCTGCTCCTTGGAAACCCTATACAGGGTCGCTATGGGTTGGAATTGACTCTACAGTACTTAACAACAACAACAACCATATAAGCAACACACCAAACAACCACTCACATATTTCAAGAACACTTACAAATAAAAAAATACACATGAAATACAAAATGGTTGCCAAAGCGTGAAGTGGAGAGAAATGGGATGGGAATACTTAAAACCAAACTAAATACACTGCCATTGAGTCTATTTTGACCTATAGATTTCTGAGACTGTAAAACTTTACAGGAAAAGACAGCCTCATCTTTATCATGTTGAACGGCTGGTGGGTTGGAACTGTCCACCTTGACGTTAGTTGTTGTTGTTGTTATGTGCCGTGGAGTCGGTTCCGACTCATAGCGACCCTGCACAGGGTTTCCGAGGCTGTAAATCTTTATAGGAGCAGAACGCCTCATCTTTCTCCCGCGGAACCGCTGATAGTTTCGAACTGCTGACCTTGCGCTTCACAGCCCAGTTCGTAACCACTACACTTGAACTTCCAAACTTTCAGTTAGAAGAGTTCGTTAACCATTTACACCACTCAGTTGTTGTTGTTATGTGCCGTGGAGCCGGTTCCGACTCATAGCGACCCTGCACAGGGTTTCCGAGGCTGTTAATCTTTATGGGAGCAGAACGCCTCATCTTTCTCCCGCGGAGCAGCTGGTAGTTTCGAACTGCTGACCTTGCAGTTCGCAGCCCTATTCGTAACCACTACGCTACCAGAGCTCCTTATGATAGCGGTAACTATTTTCACTCACTCATTGATTTTTTGTTCATTCATTCTACAAATACTGAACATCTGCTAAGTGTCAGGTATTAATCCAAGTTGTGAGGATGCAAAGATGACTTGGGCCATGGTCCTGTTATTGGGAGCATGTTTGTCAACAGCTGATTACAATAGAACATACATGAAGGTCACGCTGTCACCCTGTGTTCAAGTAGTTTTTTGTTTTGGTTGTTTTTCTTTTAGGTGCTGTTGTTTCCGACTCATGGTGGTGGTGGTGGTGGTTATGCGCTGTGGAGAGAGATCCAGTAAGTTTCTGACTCAGAACTGCCCAATAGGGCTTCATAGGCTGCGATCTTTATAGGAGAAGACTGTCAGGCCTAGTGTCTTGTGGAGTGGCTGGTGAGTTTGAACCACTAACCTTTTATTTAGCAATTGAGCATTTAACCATTGCACCACCAGGGCTCTCTAAACATTTCCTTAATGATTGTCAATAGGTAGTCTCCAATTTTTGGCTGTTATAAACCGAATGGCCTCATTCCTTTCTCTACTTTGCACTTTTGAGGATTTATCTGTAGGATACATTCCTAAATAAAGAATCACTGGGTCAGTTCCACCTTTAAGTGCTGATAAATTGCCTTAAGAGCTGGTTGTACCCATTTACCTTCCCATGGACATTACCTTTACACCTCCACCACTCTGGGTTTTGTCAGTCTTTTTAATCCTTTTTGTCTGACTGGTGAATGATGACTTCACTCTCTTATCCCATTTACATTCTGGGTTTTTTTTGTGTGTGTGTGTGTGAATTTCAGCATGACAGGCTCACCCTTTTATATTTGGAATCAAACAATCCTGGCTCTTCTAACAGCAGTCATATAACTTCTAGCAAGTTACATATGACCCCTAAGCTTCACTTTCCTTCTTAGTAAAACAATAGTAATAATAGTACTTATCTCTCTGGGTTGTTGTGAGGCTTAAACAAGATAAAACATAACCATTTCTTATTAGCACACTGAGTATCAGGTGCCTGCTACACAATCAACTCTGCATTAATGGAAACAAATTTAATAATAATTATCAGTCTTATAAATCACTGATTGAACTGGCAATCTAATTATGTTGTTGTTGTTAAGTGCCATTGAATCAGTTCCAACTCATTATATAGCAACCTTATATAGGGTTTCCGAGGAGCAGCTGGTGAGTTTAATCACCAGCCTGGTTGTTCAAACTGACTTTTTGGTCCAGTACTTATCCTACAGCGCCACACCAAGGAAAACTCTTTTTGACTGAAGCCATGATATTTTCAATCACCTCATATGGAAATCCACTGGATTATTAACCATGAGGTCAAACCCACAAGTTGCTCCTTGGAAACCCTATATAGGGTCGCTGTGAGTTAGAATCTACTCCACGGCACAAACCAACAACAATGTATGTATGTGAAACTTGGACAGTGAATAAGAAGAACCACAGAAGAATCAATGCATTTAGAATATGGTGTTGGAGAAGAATATTAAAAGAACCATGGACTTCCAGAAGAACAAACAAATCTGAATCGCAAGAAGTACAGTTAGAATGCTCCTTGGAAGCCAGGATGCTGAGACTTTGTGTCTCATACTTGAGACATGTTATCAGGAGGGATTAGTCCCTGGAGAAGGACATTGTGCTTGGTAAAGTGGAGGGTTCAACAAGATGATGGATCGACACATCTGTTTCGTTTTGTTGTGCATAGGGTCACTATGAGTTGGAATCAACTCCATGGCACTTAACAACTACAAAGTATTTGGGAACTCTTGTCTGGTAACTTGATGCATCATTTTTGGTAAATTGCTTTCATTTGAGGGCTTCGTTTCCTTCCTTTAGTTGAGTGATTTGAGCTGGGTCCTTTCCATATTTAAATTCAGTCTTTGTAAAGTCAGAGATGAGCCCTGGTGGCACTGCTACGCACTGGGCTACTAACGACAGGTTAGCTGTTCAAACCCACTAGCCACTCCGAAAAAGAACGAAGAGGCTGTTTGTTCCTATAAAAGAACAGTCTCTCAAATCCTTAATAGTCGCTGTGAGTCGGAATCAATTTGGATGGCAATGAGTTTCATTTAGCTTTATCCCCTGTAGGATGAACACTCGACCTCAAGGTCGATTTGAACCACAAGGTTGGTGATTCATACTCATCAGCAGCAACTTGGAAACTCTATACAGGGTCGCTATGACTCAACAGCACTTGCTTGCTTCTCCAGACCTACCACTGGGCGGCAGTGTGGGTCAGGGACTGAACCGCTGGTAGCCACAGATTCCACACATTTTCCTACCTCTCTCCTTCCTCTCTCGGGCTGCGAAACTCAAGGCCAGCAGTTCGAAACTACCAGCTGTTCCGCGGGAGAACGATGAGGCTTTCTGCTTCCGTAAAAATTTACAGCCTCGGAAACCCTGTACAGGGTCGCTATGAGTCGGAACTGACTCCACGGCACATGGCCACCAAGTAATCATTGGCATTAGGGACTCTGCTTGCCTCCCTCCCTGCCCTGCCCTGGAAAAGAAGCCGCAGTTAACTAAGGAAGGTGCTGAGCCTCTTTGGCATGAACTAGAATCGGTGACAGGAATCTTTCTTCCTGGGCACCCAAGTCGACTTTTCCCTAGAGCGGCGCGGGATTACGCAGAGCTGCCAAGGGAGGGGAGAAAACACCCACAGGAAATAAATGTGGATTTCTGGAAATGCTCTGTGCTGTGTGGGAGTCAGGGCTGTGCTGGACTCTTTGACTTTATATTCACCTCCCTGTGCATGTCCCAGCGCCTGGCTCCACGTCTCTTGGTCTGTGCCCTGCATCTGTTAAGTGTTGTCGAGTCAGTTCTGATTCATAGTGACCTTGTATAGGGTTTTCAAGGAGCGGCTGGTGAGTTTGAAGCACGGACCTTGTGGTTTCAAACCGACCTTACGGTTCAGTGCTTTATCCCACAGCGCCCCACTAG